CCCCCTCTCGGGGTAACACAGGGGGACCACATGATGTACTCGGGAGCTCGCGTCTGAGAAGGTGACACTTCACCACACAGCCTGAACGGGATGCTACTTCACTACCATAAAAAGTTCTTTGGGATTGAAATGAGGACTTTCAAATGTTTGACCCTGTTAGGAAGCACATCAATTTTGGCTTTTTACAGCTCTGAAGATGACTTTTTAGAACTTCTTTCAGAATCATAGAATGATAAGGGTTGGAAGGGACCTTAAAGATCATCTGGTTCCAACTACAACTTAGGTTCTTGGGTTCTTAACTTGTATTATTTTAACGCTATTGAATAAGGCAAGATGCTCAGGCCTGTACATCTGTAGAACACAGAAATGCGTTTCACCTCTCCCTGGTCCTTTCAAGCTGCCTTACCACGCTCTAGGGTCAGAGGACTTGGTTTCAATTCCTGTAGCCATGTCATTTCTCAGCAATTTAGCACAGGGAGGTGCCTTAGTGGAGTTATTAATTGTGGACACTTGACAGCCTGTAAAGCACAGGGATGCTGTGCTTAGCCTACACACTTCTACCAGTAACCTGATGCAAGATGGTAAAATACTGCCTGTGACTCACCTGCTCCTGATGAACTATCAGTTAAGTGGTGCTGCTGAAGGAGCAACTTCTAGCCCTCATTTCAGTAAAATGGAGCTTTAGTACAGATCCTAGGGAAAGGTAACAAAGCAACACACGTGTTGCTTCCTCTCGTCTGATTGGCTTAGTGGTCTTTTTTCTTTCTTTACATAACTGGACACTTCACATGGATGAAGAATTACAGGGTAAGGTAAGAACAAAATAAGACTCCAATCGGTTTTCTTGCCTACTTTGACTCCTTGTTAAGATGCATGCTGCCTGGCTGCAGCCATCCCCTTCGCAGCAGGACACTGATCAGAAGATGCACTGCTCGCTGCTGGAGTGTTTTAACACCTCTCCCCAGCACAGAAACCCGAGTGATTACACTGTGCAGGCCTGTTAAAAGGACTCCCCAGGTGTTGCCAGTAGGAGCAGGGGCCAAGGCTCAAAAATCTTCTAAGTAAATGCTAAAGCCTTTCCCGTGTTAGTACTGCCTTACCAAACAGAAAACCGGTAAGGTCAAGATGCTTGGAGATTTCTCTTTCAAGTCACTGGGACTAATATACTTTGTAAGCACATGTATGACCTTACACTATGTATATTTTTACTTCAGAACGTTACATCTTCATTCTGCTGAGCAGTATGTCCTACAGTGATGCTTACCCTAAGTACACACGTAGCCGAGGGCCCCTAGTGTGTAGGGGCAAGGTGATAGACTTGGGGAACTTCCTGAGTCTTTCCTGGGTGGAATCAGAAATTTCACAAAACTCAGCTGACCCAGGGATCTGGCTTGTGTTTACTTGGTCAGTTCCTCCAAAAACTGGAGTAAGAATATAAGCATGAAAACAGAACACCCTAAAAATAAAAGCTTCCCCAAAATACTGAGACTCGTCTTGTACACTTACTTTAGTACTGAAAAATAGTAAGTTAAGGCTTCCAGAAATATAGCAGCTTGAACTTAAAGGCCTTGTTCTTGTTACAGTCAGTGAAAGGTCACTGGGATTTACCACCGATATCTATGCCAACACACAGGTCTGCAGCTGGAATGATGGTTTTTGAAGTCAGGTTTTAAACTTGTATTGCTGAAAGCACTTAGAAAATGGTTTTTCTATAAAGTAATTATTGTTTGCATTTGGCTTAGGAAAATCTGTAGCTGAATGGAGTAGTTTATCCGGCTAAATGTCCAGTTTTGCTAGTAGATCATGACAAAAACTCGCGTCAGTTCAGAGACAAATTAACAAAATCCTTCCTGATGCTCTTTGTTCTGGGAAATACAGAGCAACTCGTGTCACACTTATGCTGTTAGGAAGATCTATTTTATGCTTAGCAGACTCGGGCATTAGAAATGGAGAACAGGTGGGTTCATCAGCTCCTTTACTAAAACACGATTATTCTCTACTATAGAATTTCTGAACTAGCAGGGTAAAGGAGTATGGGACCCGAGAGTCCGTACACTGCAGCGCACAGACACCCCGTCAACCCCACCAGAAATGGAAAGCTCTCCAGCAGGCAGCTTCAGGATAAGGTTTTAAATTTAATAAGAAATCCGAGAAATATATAGAAATAGCCTTCCTGATACCATAAAACAGAAAAGGGTTAAGAGGTTCAGCTGTCGCCCTAAAGAACTAAAAGGAATACGGTTGATCAGAAGCGAGAAGCAGAAAAGCTAAATGGTTTTGTGAAGGCTGCCCTAATTGCTCTCTGGCGAGGATGAGCAGGGTGTTTGGAGTCAGCACACCTTCCTCCCCCCACCGTCCTCTGTGCATTCTACAACTGAAAAACTGCGATAAAAACCCCCAATACACCAAAGGCAAAGGGGCTTAACTGAGCAGAGGCTCACTGGCAAAGCCAGGACTGGGAACAACCGGATTTTCTGGATCTCTAGGACAGTATTTTCTACATAGTTAAAACTAACGTTTGCGGCAACAGAGCCAGGTCAAATATTTCAAGAGTTCAATATTTCTTTTCAAAACTGCAAGAGAAAACAAGAAGTACCCAATCTGTTGCACTCCCAAGGGCTGGAGAGACCTTTTTCAAAGACCCATTTGCTTCACATCTTCCACCAAGCACCACTGTAAACTGGGGTTACCTTGGTCTCAATTAGCATCTGCATTGAAAGCCGATCAACTCTTGTGGGGACTAAGGAAAAAGTGCAGAGTATTGTTTTATGTAAATTTTATCCCTTTACTAATTTGAGGGGCTTTGCTACTGCGTTTAGCACATCTTTAGATAGATGGGATGTGTTCATGCTAAATCCCTTTTTTCTCCCCTAAACTGCTTTTCCTGGCTCAAGCTGAAGCGGCAGTACTTAGCAGAGACTAATAGCCTACTTACCACCTACCGTGCTGGGCGCTGGGCTTTGTTTGCCTGATGATGCCCCCATCCCTGTCCCCTCCACTTCTCCTTAAGAAATCATTTACGCTCTTTGCTCCTTAATCCTCGGGGATGACACAGGTGGTCTGAATTGTTCCTGGTGTATTCTTTCTGGATTTAGGAAGAAAAAACTTCATAAAAGCCAGGAATTGAAAAGGCGAAGAGGACAGCTTCAGCGCTCAAAACCTTGGTACAAGGCTTGCGGAATGGTGTCCAAGTGGTTTCTTACAGCCTTGCCTGCTGTTTGAACAATGGTTTTAATTTTGTTCAGCTAACTGATCTGAGATAAACAAAAATGTATTTTTGCCCAGATTTTTTGGACAGATTTAACCAAACCAGTTTAAAGCAGCGCAGGATTCTATGTTGCATATAACCATGTCTCCACAACATTCCTGTTTTATTCCTTTTTTGGCACTGAAACAATACATACAGCGCTGATCAATCCACTCTGTGCTACTAGAAAATAAAACCCAAGCAACTTAACGAGCTTTTACTTCTTGTGCTATAAAGCTATGGTTTTTAAAGTAACAAATAAAAAGAAACCCCCCTTTCTGAACAGGTACGTATCTCCAGTTTTCCCTTGGGGAAAACTAAGGTACAGAGAAGTTGTTCTGGGTCTTTCACCTCCTTCACTCTTTACCCTTCCAGGCAGAACTGTGAGGGGATGCCAGCAACCCCGGCTCCATAACTGAGCTGAGTCCACTATTGGTATTAACGGTATAATGAATTTCTTTGGCTGAGAACAATGATCGATATTTGCCTTGCCTTGCATTGAGTGTCAGATTTGCTTTTATTCAGCATAGCTGCAGTTTTAAAATGTAAAACCAGAGTTCACTGTTATGGATGCTGTATGTTTTTTTCGTGTTTACGCCAAGGGTTTCACAAACGGTTCATTCCAATCAAGTCAATTCAACTCTGAACTGCAACAAGAACCCCCTCCATCCTTCAAGCAGAGCTACAGTGATTTGCTATTCTTCGCTACCAGGTACTCTGGCAAACGGATCAAAAATTATCAGAACGCAAAAGCCCATCAGACCTCCAGATCTCTGTGGGATCTCAGAGCAAGAGGAAGCATTCCTCATCTGGAAGTTACACCATTTCCTTAGGTGCTTTCCACAAGAAAGCGAAGGTAGTTACAATGCAAGTGCAAAGTTGTAGTGGAAAACGGTATATATTTCTACGGCTTTGAAGCTGTTTTGATTTCTTTACACCACCGCCTTATGGTGTATTAGATCGGAATACAGTAGAAAGGACAGAGCCTAAGCAAAGCCCCAAACACCGGGAAGTGCCTGCCGGACTCTCGCTGCCTCGGTACAGATGCGTGAGGGCGAAGGAGGTTCACCAGGCAAAACGAGACGGGATGTTTCCAACGCATCGACCTGGGGCGTGGCGGAACGGCGACAGTCCTGGCTGGATGTGTGTGTCCACACAGATGTGCTGCTGCACCAAACCTCACAAACCCGGGAGGGGAGAAGGCTGCAGTTTCTTGTTTCCAGTAAATCTATGCCTGCCTAGCAAAAAGTCACATCCTTATGTGATCGCCCCTCCCTCCAGGGCCTCCGAGCAGCAGGAGGACTGTGGGATGTTCCAGCCTGCACGAAGCCTGCCAGCTTGCTTCCTTCCCTTTGACGCGCGATGGCTAGCACAGCAGCCCCATCGCCGACTTCCAAACCTCATCCCTGTCACTGAGAAATCAGGCGGTCCCTGCTTAGGCAGAAACACAGAAGCAGCCTGGCAGTCCTGGGTGCAGACGCAGAATGAAACTGGAAATGTTTTTCCTTCCCTAGGAAACACGGCGTGAAGCTGCGCATAGCGGCCTGCTTGCCTATATAACTGATGCTGCCCTGCATGCTTCCATGTTGCTCTGCACATGGATTTTGTTGGAATATTTTTTTACCTCTTAAGCCCTCCACAGTCACTATTTTACTGACAAAAGATTTCCATGTAGTTCTCGTACAACGGGACCGCCACCTCCTGTCTATCAGAAACAGGAACAGACTGA